TGCGCGCCGCAGCGAGCACGAATCGCGCTGCGTCTCGCACGTCGAAAAAAAAGCAAGCCGTTATTCAGGATACGCGGGCGTCCTGTCCGTTCTGCCGCAATTCCATGCGCGCGGACGTTTTTGCCACGCGCGCGCGACTGCCCGTCGACAGTATCCCTAATAGAAAGCGACAGAGGATTCATTAGTCTTCATTGATACCATTGCGGGTAATCGTAACGAAGACATAAGTCTCCTTTCCGAAACAACGCGTGTGCGGAATGCAAGGAAACTACAAGCGCGAGCTTCGTGAATGAATGATTTGAGAAGAATTTATATAGGCTCCATTTATGCAGTTTGCAGATGATTTTTTTTTTTATTATTTTGCAATATGATCAAAGTGGCAAAAATAATATAATTACAATAATATCGTACAGTTTTTTTTTTTTTTAAATTATAAATATAATTTGGTGATCAAAATGATTCTCTTAGCTTCTCGATGCAGCTCGCTCTTGAAATCTAATTATTGCATCTTCCTTCCATTGCATCTTCTATATAAAGTGTTATTACTTCGAGTAACGCGTAGGCCTCTCAATTCGCCATGGAGATCTCTCTAATGGCGAACTGATTTCGCGATTGCGCTTGATGCGAAATAAATGCCCTACTTGATTCACGCATCAACGCGGCGTTTCGTTTGTGTACGTTTCATTTTATTCGCTTCTTTCTTCAGCGGATGTGTGCGCCGGCCGCGATGAATCTGTCATGGCAATCGGACACGACGGAGCCGACGTTTCACGACGCTCCCGCGAATCGCCGTGGACTCGGCCGAATACACGAACACGTTAGCGCGCAATTCCGCAGCCTCAACGCAATTCTGCCCGGCTTTCTCGATAAAACTTGGATAAATCCCCAACTTCGTTACGCGATGAACCTACATGCCTCCCGGATTATAAACTTTTTATTCGCTCGGCTCTCGAGTTTATGTCGTCGTTCATTGCTATTCGCCCGTTCGCATTGAGATAATGTAGCCGCTGCATCGCGGATTTTTATGCTAATCCCAAAGCTATCTCACGTTATGTTCGCGTACACCTGTTGAGTACATCGCACATCGCGCGTCGATAGCCGGCGTTAAGGCGCGACTCCGGAGGGACAAAAAATTCCACAATCTGGCCGACAATCTCCGGTACTACCGGTAGCGAAAGCGCTTTTTAAGCGCCACGTCGAGTCGCGCGCGAGACCAGCAGCGGCGTATTACGACCGGGGCCATAATGCTGGCGTTTATTTCTCTATCGGCAGTGTCGGTTTCTCTCGAAAGGGTCCGTGATCTGATAGAAACGGCGGAAACTTATACACGGGAAGCCGATAATTAGCGCGAATTGAATCGGTCGAGAAGACGAGAAAGAAAGAGAGAGAGAGAGAGAGAGGGAGGGAGGGAGAGAGAGGGAGAAGAAAAGAGAGATCCGCGTACCCCAGTGGCCGGCGATAATCGCCGTAATTTATGCTCCGACGAGCACTCGGGGAGGATATAGGCTCGTTGAGATAGGGCAGGAGCGTAAAAAGGCGTATGGCGAAAATGTCGCCCAATTAACGGGCGAATTGGAGCGGCCGAGGTCGAGCTCCGCCGCGTACGCGCGTATATACGTGTTTTAGCGTGTATCAACATCCGCGTGGAGGAAGCCGGCTCGGGGAAGAGGAGGAAGCTTAACGAGTCTTTCTCGCGCGCGCAAAGCCGCCGCCGTTGCGCCATTAGCGCGGGAGCGAGCGAGCGAGCGAGCAAGCAAGCGGGCAGACGGGCGGACGGGCGAGCAAGCAAGCGGGCAGACGGGCGGACGGGCGAACGAGACGGCTTAAATATCGCGAGCGTTCAACTGAACCGAGAAACAGCGAAGACCCGCGCCTTTTCTTTTGAACTCCGAGAGCCACTTTTACGATTTTATTATTGGCTCTTACGCTCGCGATATTTATGCGACGCCACGCGATATTTTCCACGGCGCAACGCGTCGACTTTAATGGCGAGCGCGCCGTATCCCGGAGATGGTCCTCCTCTCCGCCGGATCCCGCAAAGCATAATGCGTTAATAACGTTGCAACCGTGCGCAACTTAATTAAGAGAATACGGACAGTCGGCGAAGAAGCGCACGAAGCGGATTCGTGGAATTCGCGAAATACTCGCGCTGCGAAAATTTACGTTCCGCTGATACGAACGTGCCACTGAAAAATAAACGCTCGCTAGCGATAAAGAAACTTTAAGCAGTAGAACGCGTTGTAATGCAAGTGTATATGCAATTTACTCTGTGAATTATTGAACGAAATTTACATTTACCGTCATATATTATGTGATTTTATTAGATAGTAAAATCGCAACAATAATTGACCGAAATGTTTTATGTATAATCGTGAAACATTTTTCTAACAACTCATTAGCATATCAAATTGAATGACTTTTAATCATGAACGGACGATTGATAAAACGATGGTCTTTCGAAATTTCTCAATGAAGCATCCATCGATCAAGTGACGGTCCACGCGAAGGATACGGCGCTCATAATCTCCCACACATATCGGATGTTAATGACCCTAACGAATGTAACCGGAGCGAGCTCAGGAACATTGACATTGAGACAAGTCGATATCTATGCATCTCGCTTCATCCTACGCCGCTCCGGTTACAATTTGTTTATTTATTTGTGTGTCCTTGTCAGAGTACCTTCTTAAAACCCGTTTGACGATACGAAATCTTGATCACGCCCTCGTCTAGGAAAAATCTGAAAAGACGCATTTGAACGTCGCATAAACGCATATCTGACGCTATAATCGTCCGCTGTGAAGAACCGCATTACACAAGTTGGAGGAGGAAACGTCCATTCTGTGTCCTTACATCTAAAATTAACGTTCACCTTGATATTCACGGTCGGGTTCAGCAAAAAATACTTGACTGCGTGATGTATTTTTGGCGATTTTATTAGAGATCTAAATTAGAACAAAAGACTTGTAAAAAGTATTTTAGAAGTCAATCTATCTTTCTGTTTTGAAAACTCGTAACTGCGTCAGGGATCAAGTGTTCTCATCGTGTCGTGAATTATTTCTATTGGGTGACGAACTTTCGGAATGCGAAAACCTGGAAGTCGTTTCTGCCGCGATTCCGCATGGCTGCCCATAGCTATGCCACCACCACTACTAATACTACTACGCGCGATCATCCACCGTCCTCCTCTCCTTTCGTCGTCCTCGCTTCTCTCGTGGCTCTCGATACTTAACTACCGCGATACACCGGCGGCGGGCCCGTTTTTACTCGCTGCGCGCCGCGTTCCTGACACGACAATCGGTGTTAACCAGTAATTCAGATCTCGGCTAACGGCCAGTAATTTAGATGCGCGCGCGAGCACGCTCGCACGCGCGCTCACGCGATGCCAGGGGATCAGAATCACGGATATTTTGACGATTTCCTCGCGTCTGCCGTCGGTCCGCGCTCAGCGAACTGTCGAGAAGTCGCTCGCAAGATGATACCGATCCTCCTACGGAGAAGATCGTATTCTGCAGAGATCAGCAGTTACACCGTTGACTATACCGGTTGACAGCTTGGGCACAAACATCTTTTATCGTTGCTATCTACAGTGTCCTACGTATTAGTAATGTTTTCTGTATAAAATTTTTCTACATGTCAAATTGCTGCGAGTTAGATAAAATCTAATTTCAGTTTTGCATATTGAAAAATTAATTCTATGCAGCAATAATTTATTCATAGATATAATTGAATTTGCAAAAGGATATACTTCTTCATTCTCTTATCTCCTTGAAACATAATGTCAGTTATTGCGACTTAAACTTATACAGAGAGGTCACCTATTGCCATAAGATAATATCCATAATGCACTCCTTGATTATCGAGTCGTCATTTCGCTTTGGATTATACGTATAGAAGTAATCGACGAAGGAGAGTCGTGAATTATGAGAGTCACGATTCTTTTACCTTTCACCGCGGTAAGAAACTTTAATGCCGACTATCGTTCTAAGGTAACGATCTCTGTAACGTGTCGGGATTAATAACAGTCTTGTTAAAAAGTAATATTAATGCAGTAATTTACTTATGTCTAGGATGATTAACAAAAATATCTTCCATGTTCGCAAGATGATCGAAAAGCGTTGAACGATAATATCTTTAAGCGATTTTGAAAATATTAGAGTCATAAAATGCGCTGTTTAATTTTTTAAAATTATTATTTCACAACAAAAATTAGGAATTGCAGAGTCGAAAGAATTTAACAAACTTTAAATTGGAAATACAACGGTAACAATGTTATTACTGAACTCTTAATGATTCCTTAATTAGCTAATTAGCCGTACATACTTGCAATTTCCAAATAGTAAACGCATGTTTAGATAACATCATGAACAATCATACAGATAAAACAATGAGTTCACGTCCTAATAACAAGAGAAAATCGTAATGTGAAAGAATAATGGGGAATAATTAATGTGATTACCTTCTCTCGCCACTTCATACGTAGTATAAGAACTGTTGAATGTTCTTCTAACGAAGGACTCGCTCTTCTCTCTTGGTTCTTGAAGGAATATCAACGTTTAAACAATTAGAATAAGATAATTGAAGAAGATAAATTATTTGCTTAAGAAAACCTATTATAGTAATCTTCTTCGAAGAAAGAGGATATTAACTTATCGTAATTCAAATAAGTTGTGCTCTGAATATAAAGTTAGAAACGGAATCACTCACGAACGAAATGAGAAACGGGAAACGTACGTCAGTACGACAGGTAATATATCCAAAATCGGTCGCATCGTGATATCAAGTCGGTCAGAAATAACCGCTACATGTAATTGAAGTAAAAACAATAACAGTGAGATATAATTTAATGAAAATATTTATTCTTCACAGTAAGCCGATGATGATTACAAAATAATTATTTTCTATTTTTTTATGACGTAGTAGAAGAAGCACAAGTAATTATTACAGCAATATTAGAAGAGAGAATGTTAATCTATCATAAATTTAATTGAAAGCCATGCATAAACATAAAATTAGATTGGATTCATTGACAAATTAATGAAGAATACGATAGTTTGCTTGATAACGTATCAAAAGTCGGTCGCGCGATATCGGGTCGATCGGTAACAGCTGGAAACATAATCAGAGAAAAAGTAAGATAAAAACAACAGCGTAAAGTACAAGTACATCGAAGACATTTGATCTCCGTGTAGATAGAATATGTAGCAACATCGTAATAAAGATTCATTTGTCAGTGGTATCGTTTCTAGCTTCATAATTTTCTTCATCAATTAATTTTGTGTTTATCTTAGACCTTGTCAATTTATTTTTGATTATATACTGATTATATACTGATAATATACTGATAATACAGTGTAAGAAGTTGCGAATTGTCTATTGTCAGTATGGGTGAGCAGAAAAATTCGACATAACAATGTGAAATCGTTTAAACATCGATGGTGATTATTTTTCGAATTGGAGCATCGAACCAAAGTGCAGAACCCAAAGTATCTGCTGCGATATTATCAAAACAGAGTCGTGTGTTTGCAACGGCATTGCGATGACCGAGCTCGAGTTACGACGCATCCGCTTTCGGTCGCAGCCTGCCAAGTTAAGTTCGTGCGTGCTCGTAGTAACCCGGCGACGGTAGCCGACGAGAGGTCACGTACGAGTTGATGTGAGCCATTGTTTACTACGCAATCCATCACATCGACGTCAATGTCGATGATCGGTTGGCGCGCGATTATGTGCGTCGCGCCTAACGTTCTTATCCGTGCGCACCTTCGAAATCGCGATCCGCCACTGGCGCGCCGCGGCTCTCGTCAGTACGATTTCGCGCGTGCAACAGCGACAATCGCGTCTCGCGTACCGCGCCTGCCGTCGACGACGAGGACGACGACGACGGAGTCGACGAGAGGGAAGCCGCGGCTCCGTGCAACCGTGTCGCGCGCGCAGAAAACCCGCGTTCCCGTTCGTATCGCGTGCGCGAGTGTACCTCGTGTGCCGTAACGCCGCGGCACGGCGTCCGCTGGCTCGATCACGTGGTCTGCGGTGGCTGTGCGACGACTTCTGTGTGTGAACGAATCGGAGCGGATCGATAAGGGTGGCGAATCGCGCGAAATGGCACGCAGCGGCACGCCGTACGGCGAGATCTGACGCTGGTCGCCGCGACGACGACGTCTGCACCGACGCCGAATCGGTGAGTGAGATGTATTGCCAAATTATAAATACAGACGCGGAAACATGAGCTTGATGTAGTGGTTCATCGCTCCGCTATCTTATGCGCTATTTTACAGCTTTATTCGTATTGTCCAGATCATTAAAGAATCGATGCAAATATTATTTATCAATTTAATGTTGTATTTTTTATTTATTTATGCATATTTCTTATTGCATTTTATTTATATGCTATTTGAAATTCAATAGCCGCGCGTAACGCTAAGCACAGATTGTACACATATAATCCGAAAAATATCAATATTTTCTAATAACTGAACGTGCATGGATCTTACTATTTATGTACAGAGACTTCCGAAGCTATCTCTCTCTCTCTCTCTCTCTCTCTCTCTCTCTCTACAACATAATTTGTCTTGTTCAAGACATAATTTGTCTTATTTAAATAGTTAATTATTGCTGGTTATTTACTTATGTAAAAAGACTTCTGAATTCCATTTATTTAAATAGCCCATGTCGCGTGTCGGTTAGTATTTAACGGAAACTGTTGTTTACGTCGTTTGTGAGGAATGCCGTACTTTCTCGCACAATATGATCATAGCGTTTTGTTCGCGGACGAGGCAGTGACACAGTTTTTCGGTTATCTAGTTTTGTAGTCTCGAGTTTCGAGACTAGTCGAGCATTGACTCTTGCATGGAAACCAAGCGTTAATTTACCTTCCTCGTGTCACATTTCTTTCGCTTCGTTTTGCGAATTCGAGAATATCGCGATGCGCGTTAACGCTATTTTTAATTGTTTCATCATGCATACGCGTCGATTGAGCGTTGTAATGCAAAATGCATCTTAATTAAGACTCAAAAATTACCAAAAAAAGAGTGCACGCAAAATATTTCAGTATTACGTGTGCCTCTTACATGTTCTCCTTTAGTTTCTATGCAGAAATACTGAGACGGGAGCCACCGGAAGTACAGACTGCTGATAGCGGAACTCGCGTTGAAATAGAGCCTGCGAGGTTGGAGTACACTCTTGCGAAAAAGTTTAATTCTGTACCATCAAACTTGATTTTGACAATTTAAAATGGATTAATATTGAAATTGTGTTAAATTTTGTAATTTATAATTTTCCTCATTTTTGTAAAGTACACAAGCATATTTACAAATATAATTCATTATTTATACTTACTTAATTTTTCGGATTATTCGAGTTGTAAACGGTAAACAGTAATTATTATAAATTATTCTATTTATTCCACTTTAACGTTTCAGTTTAAAGAACATTTAGCTTCTTTGTGTACATTTATGAAAATATGTTTATGACTGCAAGATGGGGTGTTGCCTTGAAATCATGTTCATAACATCTCGTTGGCTAGGAAATATTATAATTACACGTTACATGCAAGACGTGAAAATATATTTTTTTTGTTTCGTCTTTTATCAAACGGGTTTGTGGCAGCGAGATAGAAACGCTTGCGAGATGTAACGCGAACGTCAACCGTAACCGCAAATGACGGAGTCTCTCGTAGGTTGCCATTAGAAATATCGCAGTACGATTACGTATGTATACGTGTGTGCGCCCGTACGCAAATGAAAAGAAAACATAAGTCAGCGCAGATGCAACCTTATCCCGCGGGTTTGAGGTAACTATTGCGTCTGACAGAGACGAATCGCGCCATTAGGCTTTAGCAAAATGACAATTTATATTGTGGCGCTCCGCGAAATTGTCCTGCCGTCAAAATGAACACGCGGGATCAATCAAGATTCCCCATTAGCTCGAGACAATTTAATGAATATTGCATTAGTCGGCTTCACGTACTCGTGATCGTTAATATTTAGAAATATGGAGCTATAAATTTTTTTTTTTTTATTACATTCCCAAGTCAGTTGCTTATCAGACATCAGGACATCTATCAGAGCTGAATATTTGCGCTCTATTTAACATCAGATTAGTTATATCAGTGCTCGGAATTAGTCTGAACATTTCAGCCGATTTCCGTGGTATACGCCTCCTTTCCTCTCCTTACCGCGCGCGCCGCAGCCGCTAGGGCCAGCGCCGCCGAGCGTTAGGAGCGACACTATCTGATTATGAGTGGGTTCTTTTCCCTATTTATTAAAATTTAAAAAAATGTATTAAAATTTATTAAAAATTAATTTTTTATTTTTAAATTTATTAAGTGGAAATATTTCAATAGATTTCCACGTCACCCATGAGATACTAATGCTGACGCGTTTTTTTTTAATGGTTTCCCCCGTAGACCTATTCCACTAAAGATAAAAATAAATTCTTAATTTAAAAAAAAATATATATGTAAAAGAGATTTTCTTAATTAGATTTTCTTAGCCTTTTATGAGAATGAACAATTGGTGCAATAATGTAGATAAAAACCACTTTTTGAAAAACGTGTCAGTATTAGTACCTCATGGGTGACGTAGAAATCTATTGAAATATTTCCACTTAATAAATTTAAAAAAAATTTATTTTTAATAAATTTTAATAAATTTTTTTAAATTTTAATAAATAGGGAGAAGAACCTACTCATAGAACCTAATTAGATAGTGCCGCTCCTAACGCTCGGCGGCGCTGGCCCTAGCGGCTGCGGCGCGCGCGGTAAGGAGAGGAAAGGAGGCGTATACCACGGAAATCGGCTGAAATGTTCAGACTAATTCCGAGCACTGAGTTATATAATACAGAATTTTTATTTCATTGCATAGTAATTGCAAGTCGTTAGAAAAAACAACTTTGAACATTCCGTCGCGAATGCGAATGCTCACGCGGAGAAAGCTTCTACACTCGTACTTATCTGATTTTGAGACAGCCGCGTAACGTATCTCGGCGATCTGACGTTTGCTTCCGATCAAGCGAAAACAATCGCGGCAAACAAAGCCTGCCGATCGATCGGCATGAGGCCGGCATCAGTGCTCAATGTGCGCATTCATAATCGTCCAACGATCGGAGGGCGAACGCCTCTGGGCATCTCGATACTTAACGAGACGCGCGGTGCATCGGTCGCTGATGTTTTCTTCGTCCTCGTCCTTATCCGCCTCCTCTTTCTCCTTGTATCGTTGCGAAACAATACGACGGTCGTTAGCTTTTCTACGACCGACTTTACGGGCGCGCACACCCAAGCCGTAGAATCCAGCCCGATGGTCTATCGCGCGGCGCGGCGCGGCGCGGCGCGGCTGTATCGAGGCGGAGTGAAGCAGATAAGATAGCGCGGGCCGGTTATCGACTCGCTTACACTCGGTTCACCTGCCTGAGTCCGTAGGCGCCCTTATCTCGGCCTTTTATCTACTCCTTTTATCTGACCTCTGCTCCGTGCGCTGTTGATATAGCGCCGCGTTACGACGCGACTACGCAATGTCGTCTGCGACCGTCGCATGCACGGCGCGACGATGCCTATAATGTCTACATCGTGATGGCGCATCCGTGCGTCCGCACACATTTCCTCCCTTCTCCCGTGTCGTCGTTTTTCAGCTCGGATTTCCCGATCGTCCTTTGCTGCGTCCTCAATATAACGCGCACGCTTTCCTACACTCGCGGAAGGTGAATGGACTGGCGTGACTTTTGGCATCGAATATACGACTGATATGTTATCGAATGATATCGTGGACTTTTTTCCATTTTCAACGCGCCTATCTGTATTTCCGAGTGTTGCTCCGAATACACCGAAATAGCTAGTCGCTGCCGATTCGTGAGACGTCCGGCTATTTTTATTTACTCCACTTCCGCCGCGAAAAACAAATGGAGATATATTTGTGGAGCATAAGTAGAATGTAGCGAAAAGAAATCTTTCCGTCTTACAAATTTGTTCATATTTTGTAAATGTATTAAGTTCCAAGAAAAATCATATTTGCATATAAAAGCTATCGAGATATCTTAAAATTCGAAAAAGCGAATGACAAATTTCTGATTGTGAGTCGATTTTTTACAATGAAAATTTTGAGGTACCAAGTTATTAATAATTAGAAAAAATCTAATTTGTTTTTCGAATTTTTTTAAGATAAATAATCAACCAATAAATATTATATTATATTATTGTAATCATTATTTATTACATCTTTTCAATCTTCAGATTTAAATTAAAACGTTATCAATATCTTATATTAATAACGTTTTAATTTAAATCTGAAAATTGAAAAGATGTAATAAATAATGATTTCCCTCGACACTTGAGGAAAAATCGACTGCAGATTGATCAATCTCTCATTAGGAACATATCAGCAAGCTTCGGAGCTGTGTATAATTCCGAAAATGGGATGTTACACTACTCTCAGCAACTCAGCGTCACTTTTGATATTTTTTTAGGGTTTCTCCCGATCGCGAGAGTACAGGTACTGTACCTTTCGCCCCAATTTTCAGAATCGCTTTCGTCCCATCATTCTCCGCCGTCTTTTTCGCACTCGATATTTCGGTCTCACACCTTTTTCTTTCTTCTCGCACCTCGCTCTATGTCTCCTTCTCTCTTCATCTTTTTTTTAGTCTGTCTTCGTTTTACGAAGATGCGATCTTGTCCACCGACCACGCCTTCGCGGCGTACCGCGTGCGTCGATCTTGTTGCGGGAGATCCTCTACGCCTGGCATCTCCTCTCTCTTTCGCTCTCCTCTTCTTTCTTTCTCTCACTATCGTAGGTGAGAAAGAAGGGAAAAACGAAGGTCGCAAGAGGCATGGTTTCGTGGCCTCTTCGGGGAGGCTGCAATCGGGACGTTCTCGGTGGCGGCATCGTGTTCTTGACCGGCTTCTTGGTCGTTACTCTCGTAAAGTAAATCTCGTTTCGTCGCCGTTGATCGCCTATTCCTCTTCCCCTTCCCCCTCCCCCCCCCTTTTCTCCCCTTTTGCCGTGCTATTCGCCTCTGGTGGACAGTACTTCCGTCACCATCTTCGACGTTCCTCGTCGTGCATCGATGCGTCGCAAAAAATCGACTGCGCTCGGGCGGAACGTCATAACCGCGTGCTACTCTCCTCCGCGTGCTTTTCTTAGCCCGCACGTTGATGTCTCGCGCGTTCGCCGCTTCGCGACACGTCACTCC